CCCCCCGCCGCCACCCGAGGGCAAAGGAGCCCGGGTATTTATCCCCCTACTCCCATCACCCAGGCTGGCTGCTCCCAATGTCATCAATTCCCCAGCACTTGTGGTCTGCCGCGTCATGGGCAGAGAAGCTTTCAGAAGCCAGAGAAAGCCTCAGGCTGTGGGATGCAAGTGCTTTTAGCTAGAAGTTGAGCCTACGTGGACAGACATGAAAAGGGCCAAGGGGAGGTGGGTGAGGCCTGGATGTCATTTGCTACATCTCTCTGCACATGTTACTCCTCTTGGGAACTGAGACCCTGGGCTGGTGAATTGGCTGGAAAGGTGACTGGGGAGGATTTGGATCCAGATCAAACGACCGCAGAGCCCGGACCGATGCTTTGCCTCTTCCCCTGCATCTGCCCATGTCTGTAAAGAGCAGGCAGGAGTCTAACTATGAATTTTAAAAATTCATTTTAAAACTTGTTCACTCAATTAAGTTGGATGCTTTTAAAGACAAATTTAATTATTTTGAGTTCAATAAAAGCCTTTTAATAAGATGAACATCATGATTTCAGGCCTCCACTTTCAGGCTTATCAGTCATGGCGAGGTGGGGACACAAAGGGAGGGAGGGAAGAGGGGGGAGGGCACGGAGGGAGGGGCGGTGCGAGCTGGCCCGCACGCACACACACACGCACACGGGTGGGTATTTATTTTAAAAATTTATTCGCACATTTAAATCCATCATTTGTTCCAAATTATTTGTGAAGCTTATAATGTTTTGTTTTATTTTTAGAAGCAGTTCTTTTCCTTCGGTACAACTGTACAAAGTGTTAAAGAAAACGCGACGCCGACTTGGCACAAGCTTGCTGTGTGTTCTGTCTCCCCTGTTGGCGCTAGTCTTCCTCGCTGCGAACGTTCCGTCTATGCCTGCGGCTGAGACAGGAAGCCAGACACACATGCTGAAGTAATTTCAACAAATATCAACTCAAACCCAACTTGAAGTAGTCACAAATGGCAGGGCTGCCTTCCCAGCCCGGTGCAAAAGGAGACTGCACGGTCTGCACGCCGCGGAAGCCTGGCTGGGCTCCGTAAGAGCCTCCTTCTTTCAGTATCCACGCACTAACTGGTCCAGCGTAATGGCAGCTGCTGTTCTGAGCTGCCTGGCCCCTGATCCCCTTCTTCTGGTAAGTCCCCCTAATTTTCCTTTAGAGAATCGCCGCTCTCCCTTCTCAGCGCAGGTGGACCGCAGGGAGCTGGCCCCACCTGCAGGTCCAGGGCGGGGCGTGGGACTGAAACCTGGCCAATCAGAGCATGCTTTCCCTGCGACTACAGGGATTGGCTCAGAGATGAGCACATGATCCAGGCCAGGCCAATGGAATTCAATTCTGGGACTTTTGGGGGAAGGATAGGAAACTAATTTCTTCCCTCTTGATTCAGGGCAGTCAGGAAATGAAGCTGGAGAGAAAGTGGGCGCCAGGAGAGGAAAATGTTTCAAAGGGAAATTAGAAAGGGGAAGAGCAGTTTGATGGTGGAGACAGACATCCTGCTAATGTCACAGTGTGCACGTCTGGACCTGGCGGCATGTAATCTAGCCCTGCTCTACCTGTTGCTTTGCACTTACAAGAGTCAACAATTCCCTCTTCTGCTAACGCCAGCCTGAGTTGGGTTTGGCTCACTTACTAAAGAAAGAACTAACTGACTCCAGATCATGGCTCTGTGGGGCTGTTTAGGGGCGCTGCTGAGTCTCCTCTTGGCCTCTGCTCATGCAGGCACGTGGTTCACTCTCTCCCTTCCTTTTCTCCCTAACATCTCCGGACTTGAAATCCAGCCTCCCCTCATCATAACAGCACAGTCTCCTGCCCTTGTGGTATTGTATTGTGGTGCCAGTCTACGGGAGTGTCTTGAAAACCAGAAGGTGGGTTCCTTGAGGTCAGAGGCTGCCCCAAGCAGTGCCCAGCATGATGCTGTGCTTAAAAAAAAAAAAAAAAATCAGATGAATGAGATGAGACCTCCCCAAACACACTGCCAACTTCAATCAAGAATTTGACATGGTGCTTGGCACCTAGTAGATGCTCAACAAATATTAGACATTCTGATTTCTGCCTTCATTCTGGACTGATTCAGTTATATCTGCATTGAGCTGAAGTCAAAGGTGTGGGGAGGGTCTCCTTTCCAGTTAGAACCCAAGATGTCCTTCATGACTACTCACAGGCACTGCCATCCACCCTTTCTACAGACGAGGTGACTGAGGGCCAGCAAGGAGAGTGACCACTAATGAGAGGCTGAAGAGTAATGAGCTCTTTTGGTTTCTCTTCAATTTTCTTTTCTTTCCTTTCTTTTTCCTTTATTTCCTTTTTCCTTCCTTCCTTCCTTCCTTCCTTTTTCTTTCTTTCTTCCTTCCTTCCTTCCTTCCTTCCTTCCTTCCTTTCTTTCTTTCTTTCTTTCTTTCTTTCTTTCTTTCCTTCCTTCTTTCTTTCTGAGGTTTTCCGCCACCAGAAAGAGGGAACAAGTAAGACAGATGTGTGCCTCAAGTTCTGCCCTGATTGCAGGACTCTGTACTCCAGAAGCTTACAGAACTGTGGGGATGAGGACAAACAATGGTCATCCCTGGGGAATCAGCTGTTTGGGCTGATTTTTTAAAAACCTTGACCAGATGTCAAAGATGGTTCTAATTAGAGAAGTAAATGCGAGTTTCTGTTGTGGGCACTGCGGGTAGCCCACTCAGATCCCCTGGGATCCCTTTTAGGCTCCTGTCCCCCCTTCCCCGGCTTCCATGGGCATTGCTAATGGCCAGTACCTGGGAGCATCCTCTGAGGACCACCCTGGGGCTTGTGAAACTCCCCACTGCTGCACTTTGACACACGATAAGCCAGGAGCATCTGAGAGTCTACTTCTCACCCAGAAGCACCTTACACCCCAGAGCTCCCCACAGGTCCCTTTGGGATCGTTGGGAGCAGGCTGAGGCGGGGACTTTGCCTTAAATCATCCCTACCTTGCTTCGTTTTTCCTCCTTTGTCCTCTTCCCAATTCCCGTAACTGTCTCCTCTGGGAGCACACCCTTGATGCATCCCCTCATACAAATTCATGCCTCAGTGTTTACTTCTGGAAACGACCCACCTTCGGCAATTTCTTTCTTGCAGACTTTATCAGAGCTTTTGGCATGTTACAGAGAATCATTTTTTCAAGAGGGAGGAAAAATAGGTAATGTCCTGCAAGATCTTTTAACCCCAATTAATAAAAGGGGTGGTTGATTTTAACCACTTTTAGTAGAACCACCTGCCTGAGCTAGTGTTTTCACTGGGCTCCCCGGATGCGGCCTGAACTAGAACAGAGGTCTAAGGAATTGCTCAGGCCCTCCAGCAGCTCATCAGGCTCTCTTCCACCCTGCTAAATGGGCCCTGGGGCTGTTGCCGAGAGCGGTGGGGGACAGGGGAAGTCAGTGTGGCCAAAGAAGTAAAAAAGCCTCATTCCAAAGAGTTGTAAAATTTATTGTATGAGTATTGCAGCTTTTCAGAACGTCATCATTGCCACTAATGATTATTGATACACAACAAGCGATTTCATCAGGCCTGTGGATTGGCATCCAAATACAGAGTCTTACGCGCAGCCACGTGGGCACAGCACCCAGCGAGCCACGGAGAATTTACGTGAGTTTAACTTGAACAGAACTTGGGAGACGGGGCTGCCAAGGAGAGCGGTTCCAACGCCAAGAACGCAACCATCAGCACATCGCCATGGACGCAGGCAGGCGAACGAGAACGCGTGTCCTTCTGGGCTCTATAGTACAGCAAGATTTGAAGCGCAGTTTCCAGAAAAAAACAAACACAAAACCAAACCAAACCAAACACTTATTTTTCCTTATCACTGGGATGTTTTATGGATCTGGAAGCTTTGTGTGCATTTAGAAAGCAATTTCTGAAACATACAATTCACAGAGACAAGGACAGGGAACGGACTCGGTTCTTGCCCTGCCCTGGTGTTCACTAGACGCTGGGGGTGGGAGTGGGGGGAGTTTTAGCTCTTTGCAAAGAACACTGGGCTTCCGGGGGGTGGGGTGCGGGGGACAAGGGATGGCTCTCAGGGCTCCTTGCTAAGTCGGTCTGCGGAGACCTGGCCTTTGTGGGGGAGGAACCGTGATTGACAAGCAGGGAAACGATGAGGAGTAGAGGAAGCCCAACCTGGTCCCCCTCCAACCAGCCACTGCCTAGGACCCCAAACTTTTTACTGGCAAAAGGAGGTCGCCTCAGTGGTGCTCAAAGCCTTTTCAAAGATAATGGCATGACAGCCAACACCTAGAGGAATGAGTGCACCAGCTCTGGGGTCCAGCAGAGAAACCGAGAGCTTAGCTCCAACAGTCGTTTCCAGAAACACACCCCACCGGTTTTCTCGGGATGCGCCCCGACTTTGACTAGCTGCTCTGCCATGAACCTCTCCAACTGGCATCTGCGGGGCATGAAGCCCAGGGGCTCTGCAGCATCGAGCCCTGGACTGCATTCCTGGGGTGCAATCGGAGGGGCGTGCTCTGCCCTCAAGCCAGCTGAGGTCAGGAACCCACTCCCCTGCCTCCTTCCAAACACCGCAAATGCCCACCGCACCACCAAGCAACAGGAGTCAAACAGTTTGCCTCAAGAGGACCTCGGGAACGCTGCCCACACAACCGAGGGCCACTTCTAGGCTCACAACTCCCATGGCAGTCAAACACAGTATTGGACAAGAGGGTGGAGGGACAGGAAGGGGTCGCCCGACGGAGCCAGGCACACCCACGGTGGAGGGCGGGTGGGGCGGGACACGAGAGGGCGACGGGGATGTTTGAGAAGCAGCAGCAACCCTTTTTTGACCTCGAGTGGGAAGGCCAATCCCCGGGTGATCGTGTCACTGCCTGGGGATGCCCCCAACTGGTGACAAGAGAGCCCTGCTTCCTCAGTAAGGCACTAGGGAGACTCTTCACAGAAAGGAAAGATACAGTTTTTAAAAAATTTTATCTATAAATGTGTCCCTGTACCTTTTAGGACAAATTATACCGATTTCTCTGCACGACTTCTGAAAAGAATCTTCTTTGAGAAGCCAAGTTTAGGCTGAAGACCCCCACAGAGAGGCAGGTTTTATTGTCAACGTGTAAGAACTTTCTGCCAGGCTGGTCAGCAGACGCTCAGACTCCATGTTTATCTGTTGGTCACCATGTTTCTGAAAATGTATATATAAATAGAGTTCAAAGGGTCAGAACTTTAAAAACCGTTCTCAGGTTTTTGTTTAAGTCATAAAAAAGTTGCTTAAAAACAAGTTATTGCCCTTACGTCTCCTCTGATGTTAGTCCGCTAGTTAGCAGTCTGCCAAAATGAAAAGAGCTCCGTGCAGGGGGGGGGGGTTGCTCTTCCATTTGGGGGGGGTCACCCCATGGAATGTGAACATGTCCTCAGTGGGAGGACGGGCCTGCAGCTCCAGCCACTGTCCCTGGTAGATCCCAAGGGACCCCCACTCCACTGTCCTGCCGGTTGCCACTGCGCCCACTCACATACCCTCACCTGCACGCCGTCACCAAGGGGTCCCGCCACACCGAAATCTACTCAGTAAAATCCTGGTAAACGAGCTGCATATCTGCTAAAAAGGCTATGAAAACACAGATAAATAAACACATCTAACATGATTGTTTCCACGGGGAGAGGGGATGAAAATGCAGGAGAGCAGAAGGTAAAGAATTCTGCCTTGAAAACAGAAAGCACAGGTTTGACTGTTTCTCTTGTGTTAACCCTTTTGCATGTCCCAGGAGAAATCTAGGCATGTCACTTTTTCATCTCTGCTGTTCTGTTTGTTGGCCTGTTGGGTGAGAATTGCTACGTAAAGAGAAAAGACAAGGATGAGGTCCAATTCTTAATACTTAGGGCCTTTCTGATCTGCCGGCGGACTCCACCGACCTCAGCTGATAAATCCTGGAGCGGCCGGATCGCCCCGAAGCACTCCGCACAAAACAGCCACCCAAGCCCCTCTGGGGGACGGGTGGGCGGGCGTCCCCCGGCAACATGCGCAGGGAGCGGCTGTCGGCTGGAGACGGGCACCTTAGCCCCTTCCCCGGGTGGGATGGGGGTGGGGGCTTCATGCTTAAAAAAACAGGAGGAAAAACTAAGATTCTTCACTAAGTTTATTTTCATCTCCGGAAAGGCAAAGCCACCACCTGAAACTTGGTGCCTAGAGTAACTTCCTTATTTCATTTGCCATCCGAAGGCTGTTCTGGCTCGGGGTGGGGGGCGGGGACGACACGTGGGACACGTGTCTCCTTCGGTGGGGAATGTATAACAAGGTAATAACCTATCGCTAGCCAGAAGCTTCCACTTCGCAGGAAAGCGGCCCCCTCCGGAAGCCTCTCCAAAATCCGCGTAAGAGCCCGCCCTCTGCCTGACGTCGACTGTGAAATTTCGACATTTCTCCCTTAAAAATCTCAACAGACATGATAGAAGTTTCCATCAAACAAGCACTGACATATTTATATTAAAAAATAGTGCAAAAGCTCAACATTTATATAAATAACTCTAAACCCCTGCTTTGTACTTTTTTTCTTTACAAGGTAATACACGCCTTCTGAGTTGGCACTCAAAAATTGCCATTTTTTTCTCTTCTAGTTCAGAAAACAACTTTTTTTTTTAATAGGCCTCTTCTAATACAAAAATACTCCTGCCCTCACAATACAGTTTCTCTTATTTTATATATATTTATATATATAATATTGCAGATCTTTAAACAAAGGTTTTGTGCAAATATGTCTTTAAAGTTAAGTGAAATCATCATAAACAAACAAAAGAAAAGAAGCATTCACGCACGCAGCTCAACTAGAAACAGGAAAAGACTAGGGTAGATTTTGTGGGGTTTTTTTTTTCTCTTTTGCCTTCAAGACACAGCTCAACAAAGAAACGTGGTTTTTTGCAAGCTTTCTTAGCTTGTGCATTCAGACCAGACAGAACATGTAAATATTTATACACAGAGAGAGGGGGAGGGGATGGTGACGCGCCGAACGTTGTGGGTGCCGCCCAGTCCTCCTCTGTCTTCTCGTTCAAGAAGTGCGGAGTGTTTCGCCTTTTACCTCCTGCTGCCCCGGCCCCGGCCCAGGCCCCGGCATTCCTAGAGAGGGTGCCCTTTCTGTTTATCCTTCTCTTTGCTCCAGGCAGCTGTGCTCTCCAGGGGGGCGATGTGTGCGTGGTGGAGCCGGGTCCCCTCCAGCAAGGAGGGCGGCCCGCTGCTCTGCTGGTGCTGGAAGGAGGGGGACCCAGGGTAGTGCCCGATGACCTCGCTGTAGGTGGGGGGCGGCCCCTCCATGCGCCCGCCGCCCCCGTAGCACGTGGCGCTGATGCCCGAGTGACTGCTGGGGGGGCAGGGGCCGCCCACCATGGCGCTGTCCATCAGGTCGCTGTCGAAGATGGTTCTGTTCGGGGGCGCGCGCACGGACTCGCGGTTCAGCTCCAGCTGCTGCTCGGGGTCCCGCAGCTGGAGGGTGCAGGGGCCCTGGTAGGGCGGGGGCTCCTCCCCGTCCGACAGCGAGATGGTGGGCGGCAGGTCGATCTCGTGCTGCAGGTACGGGTACGTGGGCTGGAAGCGATGGAAGCGGTCCCGCTGGGTGAAGGGCGGCACGGCCAGACGGTCGGTGGGCCTCGGAGGGGCATAGACCTGCGGCTGGAGGGGGCAGAGCAGAGTGAGGGCACCCCCCCGCCAGAAGCGGGACCCGAGGTCGGCGGGAGGGGGGTGTCCAGCCGCCCGGGGACGCTCTGCTCTCTGGGGAAGGGAGAGTGCGCAGCAGCGGGCACCGCTGAGCCCGGAGTCCAGCTGCGGCCCGACGCTGGGGAGCCCTGGCTAGGAACATCACCACGGAGCTGAAATAGGGGCAACTTCGCTTCTCTCACGTTGCAGACACTGTGGGCCACTCGCTGGGGGCAGGGAGCGTTGGTAACGTCCCGGTGGGGATGATCCCAGCAGCCAAGGGCAATTCTTCAGCGAAGGGCACAGGTGTGAGCCTAGCAGCCACACTCTTGCAGCCAGGGGAGGCGCCTCTGGCTTGGAAAGGGGACCCGCTGGGCGGATGGCCTTAGGCGTCCACTACAGCAGCACGGGGGGCAGGCAGGGAGGGGACTGGAGGCAGAGCGGGGTCTCACCTCTGGAATGCCGTTGCCTGACACCGTGCTCTCCGAGGGCCAGAGGCATCCTTCCTGTGTGGGGACGAGAGGGGCAGGGTCAGCGGGAGGAACAGACCTGGGAGCGCAAAGGGTCAGCTGGCTTTGACCCTGAGGTCTTGTATTTGGAATCAGATCTGGCAACCATCCACTCCTCTCCAGCCCCACCCTGCTACCCTGGCCTGGGCCCGGCCATTTCTCAGACAGGACCACAACGGCCTTGTCACTGATCTCTCGGCTCTCCGTGCTGTGCCCTGAAAACTCATCCCCCACACTCACACTTTCCAAAGCAGACATCTGATTTGTGGGACCCTCCAGCAGCTTCTCCTGCATCTTAGCATGGATCAAATTATCTCGTGAAATGGCTGATGAGGAAGCCTGGCGTGATCTAGCCCTCCTGGCCTTGACCTGGCCCACTTGCTTGCAGTGTGACCTTGGCAAGGTACTTAACTTCACGAGGCAGAATATGCCTGGAGTGCACGTGGCCCTCTGTGACTATATCCAAGTGCTGGGGGCCACGCGGACCCGCTCTCTCGTGCAAAGTGCTATGCATGCACCTGAGGGCCTTTGCCCCGGCCGCCCGGCCAGCTCCGCAGACTTCCTCTGACGCCATCGTCTAAAGGGCCCTCCCCCGGTAACAATCCTGTCGTGGGCTACTTTCCTTCTCAGCAGCGCTCTTATCTGTAATCAGCTTGTCTCTGTATTTATTTACCTCTTTACAGTCTGTCTCAACCTGTGTATCAGGAGCCCAGTCCATAGGTAAAGAAATACTGGACAAAGCTGGTTAATAAGCAGAGTGCCCCCAAATAATGACTCCGTCAGTCAACAAAGGTGCATGAGCCACGACTGCTGTGTCAGGCCTGTCGCTGTCGCCTCATGAAGCTTACACCCTCTGCTGAGATGCCAGGCAGGGCCTGCGGCTCCCTGCATGGGTGGCCGGGACGCATGGGCTCGGAGTGGGGGACAACAGGGCCGACACACCACGTGCGATCTCAGGCCTTGGGGAGAGACCCAAGGGTCAGGGAAGTGGGACCCCACACCAGGATCAGTTTGTCTGAGAGGGAAGCCCAGAAAATGTGGGTTATGTGGTGACAGATCGCCCCGGGCCTGGGGGGACGGATGTCTTCTGTAAATTTTACAGCTTTCCATGGATGTATCTGAGATATAATAAACTGTACATATTCAAAGTACGCAATTTGGTTAAATTTTGGCGTGTGTCCACACCAGAGACCCATCGCTACAATCAAAATAACATCTCTATCACTCCAAAAGTTTCCCTGGGGGCACGTTTTCTTGCGAGTTCACAAGTAAGACATTCTCACCTACTGTCTGGGGCCAGAAGGTGAATGGGGGTGGGGGTGGGGGGGGCACGTGTTGCCCAGAGAACTGCAGTTACCTACATGGCCACTAGGGGGCTCCGTGGCTCCCAAAACTGTCCCACCAGGAAAGCACGCACTTACCCCACACAGACTCACTGCAGTCTCTAGTATGTTCCACGTGTTAGGATGCAGAAAGCAGGCATACAACCTTACTGCTCATGTGGTCATCAAAAGCCGTTTCATTACTGGTATTAGTAATGTATCAATCGCTGCCTTGGTGCCAGACTAAGCACTCTTTAAAGCACGATCTCATTTCTCCCAAGAAACCTACAAGGCAGGCCGAGGTCGGTTAGCTGAGAGCTGAGTGCGCCCAGCTGGTAAGACGCAGTGCTGGGATTCAAACCCTCACCTGCCTGCCTCCAGACCTACTTGGGCTCAGGCTGGCCCTGGCAGGCTCTGTAGCCCCCGGTCGGGCCACTGGCACTGTCCATGTGTGGGCCAGGAAGCAGATGGGGACATCCACCTGCTCCTCACTAGGGTCAGGAGCCCTGGGGTGGGATGCACGCAGCCAAGGCCAGCCTGGATGAAGTGTGACCCAGATAAACTCCTGCCTAAAACCTTCCTATGAGTCCCTCTGTCCCAGGCTCCGCACGATGTGGCCAACAACCTCTTCCCAACACTACCCCCACTCCCAGCCCTAGCAGATGGGTTATCTACCTGGCACCACCCAGGAAGCTTTAGAAAACACCAATCAATGCCCCAGGAGCCCCACCATAGGGCACCCAAAACTACCCACCAGCCTCGTCATCTGACTACCTCCAACTTGTGTACCTGGAAGTACTTCCTCCTCCAGGGAGCCCTCCAGGAATCACCCACCACCACCCTGCCTCCCAGGCTCCCACAGCATCTCAGCGCCTGTATGGGCCTGGCCTGTACCCGATTTAGAAGCCTTGTGCCCACAGAAGCCATGTGGGAAGCGGGAGACTCATGCCAGGGCTGATTTGGGGACAAAGAGAACAAAGGGTTGCCCCATCCAAGGCTCTGGCTGAGCCTCTAGTCCGAATCTATCCCTGCCCCACGCTGAGCAGGCCTCACACACAAACCGTCTTCCAAGAGACCTATGGGTGAAGTGGTCATCGCTGTTCAAGATGCATAAACTTTTGGGGAAAAATTAAAGCTGCTAAGGCGAGGAATTCAGAGCAGGGAATGTTTGAAAGCACAGCTCAGGGACGCAGGAACAGCTCAGACATGAGCAGGAGGCTTCCCGGCTGGGGCTTGGCGGCACCTGTGCCCATGCTTACCTGTGCCCAGGTGGACCAGCACCTGCCATACACGTAACACTCCCCTCCCCTGCCAGCCCCAGGACAAGCCCCTTCGGACCCAGCTTCTGTGCCACTGTGGTGGCTAGGTCACCCCTGTGGTTACCATTACGCAACACAGCGTGGCTTCCCTGGGAACAGCATGGGGCGGGGGGGGGGTGACATTCTAGGGCCAGTGGCGTACCTGCACTTGAGCCTCATTCTCTGACAGATGAGCAAATGGGGTCACCCTGAAAAGGAACCGGAGCAGGACAGTCATGCGAGGGGCAGGCCCAGCCCCAGGCTGACCGTGGCCAGGTCTGGGTCTCCGTGAGAGGTCACGGGGTCCTGAGACGCCTCCGACGCACCCTGTCTGGCGGGGGGTCCCCAAGGGAGCTGCCACACTTACTCCAGGCCTAACGAGGCTCTGTGTTTACCCAGCCGGGCATCCCCAGGGGCCCCTGCAGGTGGCTGGGTAGATGGGGGTGGGGACTTTCCGTTGGCTTCAGGTGTCCAGGAACCAGGGCCAGAATCAGACCCCCCGTCTGGGCACCAAGTCCCAGCTGCTGCCCACAGAGCTGTCTCCCCAGCCCCGCCGACAGCCAGGATCCCTCACGCTGGAACTTAGGCCATCTCCCCAGCCCTCTGGGCCAGCATCATCCTGCCCGTGACCACACACAGGGGGAGGCCGCAGAAAGGCTACCTCCACCCGTCTGACGGACTGAGGCTCAGAAGGGCCAGGCGGCACCCCCCGGGCGTGGGCCGCCCCTTGCCGCAGCACCGGAAGCAGCGCGGACGGGCCTGGGCTCTGCAAAGGGCCCCCACAAGCTGCCAGGCTTGGGGCAAACGCGCCCACCTGTCTGGGCAGCAGTCTCTCCCCCGTGGGGTGGGGTTTCCGGGCTGCTGTGAGCCGGGAGGCCCTGGGGCGAGGGAACAGCAGACGGCAAGGGAACAGCAGACGGCGCGGGCACGTGGGTGACAGCCACCGCAAGCACACACACGTGAGCCCTGGCCTCGGGAGCGGCAGACGCCTTCAGGGCGGCGGCGCCGAGTGCCCTCCGGACCCACGCTGAGCCCCAGGCTCGGGGCACGCCGTGTTCCTGTCGGGGGGACCAAGCGGAAGCTCCCGGCCCTGACACGCTGCTGACCAATGCACTGCGGCCGCAGCCTGATGCCACTGCAGATGCCCTGGCTCCGCCCCCGACTCGGGGCCCGGCCGCCCAGCGCGGGCATCCCCCAGACCCGGGAGGCCACGCCCGGTGCCGCCTCCCTGCTCCGTCGCTGCCCTCGCAGGCTCCGAGATGGGCTCGGGCCCACGGCCCTGGGGCTGCCCACGTGCCACCTTCTCCCTGCAAATCCCGGCCTGCCCTTCCGACCCACTGCCACCAGCTCGTTAAATCACACATCGCCCATGTGGGGGCAGGAACCCCTTGGGCACGAACTCTGCACCCGCGTCGGGTCCACCTGCTAAAGAGTGGGGGGGCGGGGCACAGTGCAGCCCCGACGGCGCAGGGAGTGAGGGACCCTGGCGCTCAGAGCTGCAAAAAGCCAAGTTCCCACCCTGCCGGGCCCCTACTTTATGGAGTCTGGAGGGGATAATTCTGGTTTTCCAGAATGCCCAATGAAGCGCACAATTCTAGTAACATGTCAAAATGCAGTGTTATGTTAGCAGCTAGGACCCCTTTCCAGCGCAGCGTTTGTCCTCACCTGCCTGGACCCATCCATCATCACTTCCTCCTTCAGAGTTCGGCCTAAGAGGCTCATTCTGACCGTCCTGGCCCAACACGGCACCCTGGCATCCTCGGGGACAGTCGCTTTGGTTTCCTTCAGAGCCCTCGAGATCGTCTGATTTAGGTGCTCCTGTCTGTCTGGATCTGGCCCCCAGGCAGCAACCACATGGGGCTTGCTCACGGCCATTCCTCCCAGTGTCTGGGAGAGTTCTAGGCCCTCGGCTCTGTTAAGTGTCTGTCTAGTGAATGCATGCATGGATGCGTGGGTGCTGGATGGAGGGATGGATGGATGGGTGACTGAGTGAAGGGAAGTGCTCGCACGTGGCCCGCAGTGCCCGGCCGCTGACTCCGTGCTAAGTGCATCCTCCGGGGAGCGGCATGACCATTAGCCCCTCTCACAATGAATGGCAAATGAAACCCCATTTCATGGATCGGGGACTGGTCCGAGGGCACGTGGCCAGGCCCAGCGGAGCTGAGAAGGGCCTTTTCAGGGTGACCTGTTGCGTCCAAGACACCAAGAGTCCCCCCCCCACCCAGACGCCTGCAGGCTGTGGAAGAGAGGCAAGGGCCAGGGCTGCAGGGCTGTGGGCTGAGGTCTCATCACGCCTTGGCCTGTGCCTCCAACGCCCTCGTCCATCGCCTGCCCAGCAGCCTCCGCTGTGGCCGCGACTGCCTCCTTCCCGTTCCGGTGCGCACCTGACCCGGGACACCAGGGGGCTTCCCTAAGGGGCATCCCGCTGACACTGGGAGCTCAGGGTGCGGCCGGGAGGGGGGCGGGGGGCAGGGCACTTACCGAAGAGAGGGCATCTTCTCTCCTCCTGCCCTGGCTGTGCCGGCCGATGAAGGAGCGCGCCGACAGCTTGTAGTGACTCAGGAGGCACGTGATCACCACCACCATGACCATCACCACCACCACGATGATGGCGATCTCAACGAACTCCAGCTCTGCTGCAAGACCAGGGGACACGTGAGTCTCGGGGGGCCGACGCAGCCTTCAGAGCGTTCGCTCACCCCCCACGCACACCCAGCACGTGCACACACTCCCCAGCATGCACACCCAACACAGGCGCACACCCCAACACGCACACACACCCCAACACACAAAGATGCACACCTTCCCCGAAACACAGATAACCCACAAACATAACACAGCGCACATACCCACAGGCACACACATTTATCACAAACACACCCCACCCCCGACAGGACAGGACTGGGTGCAGATCCCCCCACCCAGCTCTCGGGAGAGAAGCCTCAGAAAAACCACATCCCCGGTGCCTGCAGATGCCGCCATACGCCTTTCTTTTTTCTTTTTCTTTTTTTTGGTGGTGTTTTGTTTTTCCCCTCGAAGGCGGAAAAGCCCTCAAGTGCTGGAAAAAGGAGGAGGTTATTTTGATCCTGCCAGAGCCGGGGCGGCTTCTGCTGACTCGTGCGGGTCTGTGTCGAGGCGGCTGGGCAGCTGGCCGTGGCCAGTGCCAGCCGAGCCCCCAGCAACGGGCGGGATGCCAGCGCCGGGTCCTGCCGGGGACCTGGGTGGTGACACGGCAGCCAGCCGCGCCAGGGCCGAGCCCCGCCAGCCTCCTCCAGCCCACGGCTGCCCACCGGGGGCCCAACACCCTGACGCCCGTCGCTAACAAGCAATTAGCCGAGGGCTCCCCAGGGCATAGGTTCAAGCTCAGGGCCACTGACTCAGCTCTTCCTCCTCCAAGACAGACAAACTGCAGCTGGGGGGCGGGGGGGCGGGTGGCAGGGGGGAAAGCGGAAAGCAACAGGCAGCACGAGGTGCGGCTGTGTCAGGGGCTCTGGCCGCTCACGCTGGGTCCACCCAAACTCCAACCCTGCGAGGGCCAGCCCCTCCTGCCTCGGTTTCCCTGCGGCTTCCGGCAGGAAAAGCAATGCGTCCTCGGTGGGAACGTGACTGTTCGCAAAACAGTGGAAGCTTCTCCACACAGAACCCCCCCCACCAGCTTCCTCTCCAAAGCCCTGGCCACCCCCTTCCTCCCACGCAGGCTCCCCAGGGCACCACCTTCTCATGCCACGTTCTGTGTTTGCCCAACTGCACCGATGTTTACCTATTACACCTCTAGTACCTATTGCTGTTATTAAGTCGGGTGAGTCTGCCCACCAGGGGCCATGTGGCAATTTCTGGGCACACTGGCAGCTGTCACAACCGGGGGGCACTCCAGGCTTCTGGTCGGTGGGGGCCTCCTACAGTGCATGGGATGCCCCACGGCGAAGAATGGCGGGTCAACGGCACCAGGGTTGAGAATCCCTGTCCAGGCCGGAGTGTACATTCGGGACACTTTTATCATCCTATCTCACGGGCGAGGAGAGCAAGGTCCAGAGGTCAAGCGACAGACTCTCAGCCCAAGGGCCTTATGCTGCTGGCTCCTCCCACCCAGCCATCTGCTGGACGACCTCCTGTGCACCCAGGAACTCAACCTGGAGCCTGGGCCTTGGCTCTGGTTCCCAGGTGGGACCGCGTCCCATCTTGCCCTGGAGAGCCCAGGAGGGAGGGCGAACTGGCCAGGGACTTCGGGGAGACTGATCCTGAGTGCTGAGAAGGCTGGGGCCCTGCCCAGCAGCAGATCAGGCAAGCCTGGATGGAACCACTGGAGGGACACCGTCACTCTCCTGCCAGAAGGGCGGGCAGCAGGGCCTTGGACCCAGGAACTGTGGCCACACCTCCTGCCTCCCCAGACAGGCTGGTCCAGGGCCTCAGCAGCCTGGTCTGATTCCCTAGGGCAGGGCCCTGTCTGTTAGGGCCCAGGATAAAGCTGCCCATTCAGGGGACACACAGGCTTGCTTTGTGCAACCCCCACGCCCTCCCTCCTCAGAGGGGCCGACGCCCCGTGCACTCTTCACCCCAACGGGGACCACGGTGCTGGGTTCCCTCCTGCCCCCTCCCCCTCCTGTCTCCAGGGGCCCTGCCCACACCGGCCTGGAGGAAGGGAGGTGGGAAGGGAGGTGTGCGGCTGGCTTGCCTTTGTCCTCGTCCCAGGCCCTGGCCCTCCTCCTGGTGTTTTCCGGGACCCAGAAGGGAGCAGCAAGACAGCAGCTGAGGCAGCCGGGCGGCAGGGGGGCAGGGGGTGAGGCCCCGGCAGGTTAGTGGGGGTGGACAAGCCCTCCACAGCTCTCCTGGCCCCACCAGGCTGGGCCCAAAGGGCAGGAGAACACATTTCTGGGAGAGAATCGCCCCCAGAAATGAAAATAGCGCTGCTAGAAACACAAATGTGCCCATCCAGAGCCCGGGCCACAACCCCAGGAAATCCACGTGGCTGAGGGGAGAAAAAACTCTCAGGAAAAGAGAAGCCATGACTGATTTCTGGGCTACATTCTGGAAGCCAAAGGCCTGGGTCTAGGCCCAGAAGAGGAGGGGGACGCCAAGGGTCCCTAAACTCTGCTACAGCTCCATCAGGGGACCCCGCCAGGTGTGAGCCTGGACCTCACCTCCCAGTCCATCCCAGCTTCCCCATGTAAAAGGAGGCTCCGGGCACTGGGTGGCTGTGTGTGGACAATGTGCTCGGCATTCAGGGAGCACTCCCTCCGTGACCATGATTAATGGGGGACTCCCATCACCCCAGGACAGCAAAGCAAAGGAAGCCCAGCCCCATAAGCCGACAAAGAGAGGGCTAAGCAGGGCCGCGCTGGATCTTCCAGGCCAGGCCCAGGCCCAATGGCACGGGTGGGTGGGGGCGCTGAGGGGTCCAGAAGAGGCCCCCAGCCAGCAGCTGGTTCACACCAACCCATAAGGCAGGGCACACCTCTGGGCTGGGTGTGCTGGCCTTGGCCGTGGGGTGAGGGGGATCTGGTCCTGCCGACAGCACCTCCATGCACTTTCGTTCTGGGGGCTCCTTCCAGGAGATACCGCCTTTGGGGGACAGAACCCACTCTCCAGGAAACGTGCCAGGAAAGCACCTGCTGGAGAGGTGGCAAACCGCTGGTCACATGTGCACGCCTTCCCCCCCATCCCCCCCACCCCCCAGGCACAGAGCTTCGGGCAGGCAGCTGCCTTCTTTCTACAGGCTGGTGCTGTCCGCTTGGCCCCGCTGGGCAGCTTGGGCTCCTGCATCCCCGGACTCCTCTCTCCCGTGCCCAGGCAGGCTTCGTGAACCAAGCGTGAGCTCCCTCATCCTAGACAGGCACTACTCCTTGAAACCCCAGCCACCGAACAGGCCGGCGGCGGAGGCAGGCCGGCCCCGTGTGGTCACACCTCCTGGGTCTCTCCAGAACCCAGAAACCATCCGTGAAGCTCCCTGGCCTTTGGCTGGCAACACGTTCAAGAGTTTTAAAAGAGTTTAAAGGCCCTGGGCAGGCCAAAGGCTGCAGGGCGGGTGGTTTGGGGATTTCCAGCCACGAGAGGAGCCCGAGTGACTCAGCTGCTAGGGGCAGACAGGGGGCCACACTGATGCGGCCTGGCTCCTTCCGTCTGGCAGACCTGCCCTCCACCTGCACGTAGGCCCGGGGCGGGTCCTACCACTGCCCGCCCCCCTCCCTGGCTTTCACCACATGAGTCACAGCCAAAGCCAGCCAGCTCACAGACACAGGGAGACGGGGCAAGGGGAGGTGGGCGGGCTGGTCAACGGCCCAAACTCGCCACAGTCCCTGGAGCTGGTACTATGATCCCAACGGTGACAAGAGCCACGCGGAGCCCGCCTCCCCCACGTCTACGGGTTGGCAGCCACCACCATCGCCACTTTGCAGATAAGCACACCGAGGTGCAGGGCGGAGGCACGCCAGGCCGCGCACCTGCAAAGAGCCGAGCTAGGTCTTCAAGCCCGAGCCCCCGAGGGTCTCGTTCTACTACGTTCTTGCAGCTCTCCCAAAGCGTCCCTTAGTTTCCCCTCCGCGCATCCCGAGCACCTACGAGGATGGCCAGTCCGCCTCCCCGCATCTGCTCCGAGCTGGGTGACCCCGGGCACGCAGACCTCCGAGAGCCCCAGTTAGGACCTGGCGTCGGGGCGATGAAATAAACGTAAGAGCTCAGACGAGGCGGGACACAGCGGACACCACTCTTGACACCCCTCCATCAGGTCGACGCCCCAGAAACGCTGAGAGGTTTGCCGGGCCGACTGCCCGGCCGGTGCGCCCGCCTGGTCTATGCTCCAGGGCCGGGGGTTTGCAGCAAGGTCAGTCCAATATGGTCCCCCCGGGCGACAGCCAGACGCGAGGCCACGAGGGACTCGGCGCACCTGTCCTGCTCCCGCTCCAAGGGCCTGGCCGCAACAGGAGCCCTTGGGAAAGAAACACATTTCTCTCATCTGGTTCCGGGCGGCAGGCCTGCTGGCCGTGGGGAAGGCGGGGGAGCTCTGCCATTTCTCTTCCTAATTTCCCCCTTGGGGTGGGGGAAAGATGCGGCAGGCTCTCGGGGGTGGCCAAGCCTGTCTTCCACATGCAAAGTAAGATCACTCTAATTTAATTTAGCGTCTTCTTTCCTGGTGAATAATTTCAAATTAACAGGCTCGTCTGCCTCCTCGGAGTGGCCTGACCCTCCCTTCTGTCTTCTCCTCCAGGGACAGACACAGTCACTTTGAGATGTTTGCACGCCCATCTCGGGTCCTTTCCCAGGCCGCCTGACGCCGGAGAGAGGCAGCGTGCGCCCAGCACCCCCTAAATGCCAGGCACGGCCCATGTGCTCTTGGGCATCGCCTTGGTGAATCCTCACGGTCCTTCTGTGAAGCACATACTAACATGCCCACAGCCCACACCGGCTCTACGGATGAGGAGGAGGAGGAGGAGGAGGAGGCTGGCCAGAAGCCACGCACCCCACAGGCCCAGGACCACGCTCCCAGCCCATGCCTTCAGGGCCAGGTTCAGCCAGCTGCCCCACACCCCGCCGTCCTGAGCAGCATGGCTCGGGTTCCAGCAAAGGGCTCGTGTGGAACGGATCTGCTCGCCAGGCGGGGTCAGGACCTCCTGGAGCATCACCCGCCATACTGTCCACGCAGCTAATAGTTGTGGCTGGTGGTACCCACCGCCTCCCTCCAAAGTGGAGGAGAATCACAGGATGGCCCCGAAGGTCACACCAGGCCCTCGGGGAAGCTCTGGGCACCTCTCAGGGCGCTGCGTAGAGATCTAACAGCTCCCATCTCTTCTGCCACTAACTGAGCGCCAAGCACCGGCCAGGACAGGACTTGCTCAGTTTCCCCGACAGCCCCCCGGGGGTGCAGCATCGGGCCCGCCACAGGCGAGCAGCCGAGTCGGAGAGCAGTCCCGAATCCAGGCCTAGCCCGATTCTCCTCCTCCCTGTGGTGGAGTCCCGGCCACTGGGGAAGCCAGGACGCTCTCTCAAAATACAGTCTTTAAATTAAAATTCAATTAAACTTAAATAAAATTGTGGCTTAAGAAGGAAGCCAATTATATTAAAAAACAGCTATCAACTCTC